CTCCACAAACCCCACAACTATTCCCACAGTCAAGCAAAAGCCAAGTACACCATGCCATGAATGACAAATCAGTGGCTTGGCAATCAACTGTCTTTTTCACCATAACATCAAGACACCAGAGCAGGCAGAATGTGATTTCTCTTGGGTTAGGAGACACTTTGCAACCTCATCTCTATCTTTGAATGTTCATTTCATGAAGTCAGTTTGATATAAAACATTTGTTGATGGAGAATATTCCAGTGCACAGGGACAGCATTGCCCATGCATCCTGTGGTTTGTCCTGCATATCCAGAGCACTGCTGGAGCTGTGGATTCATGGAGAAATTATTCTCCTCTTCCAAGTCTTCACACATTTTTTTATTTCTCTTGTTTCTGGAGAATGTCCCTCTTCAGGCAGCAGTGGGGCAGGTGCCTCAGGCAGCTCTTCCCCAAACCAGTATTTCTTTCAGCTGGCAGATCAAATCAAAGCTCTTGCAGGAGCAATTGCCCTGCAGCATCTCCCTGGAGAGGCTGGGGGTGTCTAGCCTATCTCTTGGAAGGTCCAGGACAGGGAGCAGGATGGAAGGGGCAGAGGGGACTCTCTGGCTGGGCTTGGCCCCTCCTGGAGAGACTCAGGCCTGGCTGGGCTGCCCCAGGCAGACATTGCAGGAAGCAGAGCTCAGGCTGCCTGGGTCTGGTGCCCCTGGGGCTCAGCCTGTGCCTGATTGCTGTGCAGGGGCTGAGCCCCACCTCTGCCTCGGGGCCTTGGGCAAAGGGCTGGCAAGGAAGAGGCCCAGGAGCCTTGGGACCTGCCCAGGTTTTCTTCTCCACGTGGGGTGTCAAGTCCTCATCCCACGAGTTGTTGGCTCATGGCCTTGGTGGGTCCTGGCATCATCCCACCTGCCTGACCTCCCTCCCTCACCTCTCAAGCATCCAAGCCAAACTGGGCTGGGCAGCACAAACAGGCCACCCCCAGGGACCCCAGGGGACACTGCCTGTGCCAGGTCCGGGGGAGGCACATCCCCAAATGAAAATGGGAAATGAAAGCCATTTGTTCAGCCTCCAGTGAAGATGCCTGAAGCGAAGCAGGATGAATCCCACACATGGCGAGTTTGGGAAATTATTATTGTGCCTTGGATCTACACCAGACCCTATTATTTAGGCATTTCTCCACTAACCAATACAGATTTAAGTTTAAACACCTACGCACATTTTAATAAGGTTTATCCTAAGTCTAATTTTCTCTCCCTCTACATTTAACACTCGCTGACATTAATGAGAGCTGCATGTGTGGGTACAAACTGACTCCAGGCAATTTTACAGCTTGATTTTTTTTTTTAAATGTAATTAGAAAAGCACATTGAAATGCTTAATCTATGTGTTTTGGGAGAAATGTTTAATGGTGCCTAATTAATGCATAAAATTTACATTTAGAAAACTAGTATCCAGGCTCTGCAATAATCAAAATATTTGCAGAAATCAGAATAGAATGAAAAATCAGATTATAAATGCTTTACTGGCAAGTGTTCATGAATATCTTGGTTTGTTTGGGTTTGTTTTTTGGGTTTTTTTTTTTGGCATGCTTGCTGTTTGAACCAGAGTTTTGGATACACTTCATTTATTAACCAAAAAAAAAAACAACTATCTGTAGCTGAGTGAACCACAACTGTATTTATCTTTTCATGAGGAGTAGGCAAACCTGGAGGCTGTAATTTTAAGTTACTCACTTTTTTCTTTGTAAGAAACCATCTGTGAAAGGTGCACAGTATTATCACTGTCAATTTATTTCCCTTATCCCTTTTCTATTTGCAAGTGCATTTACTTAGGGCCTTACTCTGCTAACTGTTACAAGTCTACAAAACTTTAAACTCCCAAAACACAGTGAAGGCCACTCACATAAGACAAGCTGTGTCCTATGCTATTTAGAATTGTTTGTCTTAATGTGACAGAGATGATCTGGCACATACCATGGAATCAAAGCTGTTACAAAGAACGAAGAATTAAACTCTGGGATTAGAAGGATCAGAGAAGGAAAACAAAGTGGAAGGAAAAAGGTTCTGTAGAGCTGAAAAGAAGAAAGAATAAAATGTCTAGTTTGCCAGACTTGATGATGTGCTGTTAAATACCCCTTCCTGCTGCATGTCCACTTGACTATTTCATTCCCTTTGAAAGACTTCATTTTAGTCAATCCCTTTTGGGACTTCACAGCCAAGTCTTTTCCTGGAGTTGGCCCAGAAGGTCAGCTCTTTAAACAGATGTTTTGTAGTCTTTAGAGGTTCCTAACCTATTCCAACATGAAAGAGAAGGCAGAGATCTAGGTAGGAAGGTAAAATCATACTATACTCCCATTTCTACATCCCAACAGTTATAAACTCAATCTAAATATAGAGTTGTAGGGTCTGACGTTCAAAATTTTCATAATTTCCTTATCAACTTGCTTTACAATACCAGTTTTCCTTTAAAACTTGCAGCTCTTCAGTTGCATTGGAGCTGCAACCTTCAACATTAGTAACACACATCCTAAAGTCCCATATTTCAGATACACACAACCTCACCATCATCAAAAATGACCATCACTCATCATCATCAGAGATGATCTTTGCAAAATGCTTCAGGCAGCCTTTTTTTTTTTTTTGTTCTCAAGGAAAGTATATGCCATTTGGATGGAATTTGGCTCACTACCTGATGTCAGAGTAAGTTCTGTGATTCACAGTTAAGCTTTTGACAGTTACTAATTTTGTCATGCAACTCATTGGAACAATAGATGAGGATTCCTACAAGGTTGTATTTTCATGACAGTCTTTTAAACATATAATATTTTCAGCTATGAAATCCAGTCAATTCACTATCAGACATCAGAAAATCAGAGTAATTTCTGATGATATCCAAACTACCAGATTTGATTTTCAAAGATGTTTGACTACCTCATCTTTGCAAATCAAAGGATGTGTTTCCAAGAATAACTTCTAAACCATCCAAACGTTGCTTTGGTACAGTGGCAGCACAGTATATCTTATTAGAATCATCACAGAAACATTAAGCTTGGAAAAGACCTTTAAAGTCATTGAATCCAACCATGAACCCAGCCACCACCATGTTCACCAGTAAACCATGTCTTCACATGACATGGTTCACGTTTTGTGAACATTTCCAGGGATGGCGACTCCGCCACTGCCCTGGGCAGCCTGTGCCAATACTTGACAACATGTGGCATGAAAAAAATTTCCCTAATATCCAACCTGACCCTCCCCTGGCACGGCTTGAGGCTGTTTCCTCTTGTCCTGTCCCTTGTTCCCTGGGAGCAGAGCACAACCCCCCCCGCCCCCCTCTCCTGTCAGGGAGTTGCAGAGAAAGAAGGTCCCCCCTGAGCCTCCTTTTCTCCAGGTTGAGCCCCCCCAGCTCCCTGAGCTGTTCCTCATTGGATTTACACTCCAGTCCTTTTTCACTGAGTTCTATCTCTAAGAAAAAAAAAGAAATAAACCCCAAGAAAATAAAATACAGGAAAACCACAGATCCACAGCTGGATCTGTGGATCCAGTGAGTGGCCTACTCCAAAACGATCTCTGCATTTATCTTTATACCAGGTAAGTCTTCAATAGCTAAGTTCTGACACTTAGTAGCTATTAAGCAGACATCTACTAGTTATAAAAGAAGATGTGGACACAGTTTTCAAAGAATTCAGCTCTGTTGCTGTCCAGAGCTTGTACAGGCTGGAGGTGAGATCTGCTGCTCTCAGACCCTGCTGGGTTGCCCCCACGCTGCCCCACCATCTGCTGTGCACACAAACAGTCTCAACAGCTCCTCTCACAGACACCAGTGTCAGGGAGTCCTCAGACACAAGAAACATTGAGCAGACACTGTGGCACCCCAAGTAAGGCCTTGAAAGCGGTTTCCCATGACCCCCCTACGTCACACAAACCCCAGAGCTGACATGAGACCAGTACTCTGACACCAGGCACTCCAGTCACTGCAGGGGCTCTGCCCTGCCAACTGGCACCACACAGCTGAAATACCTGCAAAGAAGTGCAAGATCTAAGAGTTATAAAGACTAATAATAAAAATAAATAAAACCCCTCACCAAAACACCAAACCCTACCCCACCAAAAAGATAAAACTCCTTTTTCTTTACTGCCATGGAATAAAACAAAGTCTCCTGCAAGTTCAGATGTACAAAGGAAATCTGAACTTGAGTTTCTGCACCAAACCAGAACAGAATTTATCCAATTCATCATCCAGAATAGGAAAAGGCAAAATACATTTCCCAAGGTATTTTAGAGCTTATCCTCCATTTTTTTTCATGGCAGATCAGACTAAAGACCTGCTATATTCTAGCTGTAAGGAAAGACACTTGGAGCTATTTAAATCTTGAGGTTCATTTAAAAATTAATTTCACTAAAGGCATGAAGATAAAGCATAAATAAAACAGAATCTACTTTATAACATACCAGTTCATTTTGCTGCAGTATTTGCAGAAAGAACCTATTGAGATGCCTTTCCACACTGCTTGAAACCTAATTTTGGACAGCACCAGGGTGAGACAAAATGAGAGCTGTTGCCAATTCTGGAGTTGGTTTCAGAGCGATTGACCACCAAAGCCTTCGTTTAATTTCAGCAAACTTGTGTTCAGCAGCTCTGAAAATTGGGCCCAAAATGATAGAGACGATTTTGGACCAGGGTCACATCCCCTTCAGTTCCACCCACCAATTCCATTTCCCACACAAACACCAGGAGGGGAAGGAAGGATTGATTTGGAAGCTTCTAATTCAGTGGAACTGGGCCTGGAGCCACTGTAATGTTCCTGAACAGCAGTTCTGGAGCATGAACAGTGCCCAGTGTGCACCACTAATGTTTGGGTGGGGTGGCCAGGTCACGACGAGCCCCAGGGCTGTGGGATGGGGTGGAGATGCAGTGCCAGGGCCAGCGGGCAGTTGGGCCAGGCTGAGGGCTCTGCAACCGCCCTTGGATGTGGCATCTGAACGTGGCAACTGCCAAAACGGCTGATGGAGACCCAGCAGGTGAGTGGGAAAGGTGCAGCTCTCCCTGTGCCATGCCCAGAGGGGGTCTGGGTGGGATTGGGTTGTCCCACGGGGAATGGCTCCCTTTGGGAACAACAGGGTATTCCCAGTTTGCTGTTCCTGAGCTGGTGGCAGCTTTGGTGCTGGGAGTGGGGGCAGAGCTGGGAGGGAACGGAGGGCACCTTCATGCTGGTGGTGGGCAGATCTTCATCACAATGCTGGCTGGAGCAAGTGTTGGTGGGATCACCAGCTCTGGCAATGGAATCCCCAGAATGCTGTTTGCCCCAAACAGTCGCCCTGGCGACAGAACCCCAGAATGCTGCCTGCCCCAAACAAACCCCAAACAAACCCCAAACTGGCCAAGCACCATGGCAGGTACAGCAGCAGGCCCCAATTCCTCCCGAGAGTCCTGCCCTCCAGGTGTCCCCAACTAGCTACACCCCGCAATATCTCACCTCATCACCCCTTTTTGCTTCCCCCAACAGAGAGGTTCCCTCTCCAGGTGACAGTGTTGAAGGTGGCCAGCGTGAGCTTTGCTGCCCTCGCCAGGCCAGCCCTGGGAGCTCCCTGGGAGCTGCCCTCTGTCCCAGGGCTGCCACTGTACTCTGGGCCGGTCCAGCTCCACACCAGCACCCACCAGTTGGTCCCAGCCACCGTCAGGCAGGAGGTCCCAGGGTCTCTGGGGGCCCCGGGGCAGGTGGTGTCACTTTCCCCTGTGGTGCAACTTCCCTGGCCAGTGCAGCTGCCTCCCTGTCCTGCCTATGGTTGGGGACAGCAGCTGGTGACGGGGGCACTTCTGCCCCCCCAGCCAAGGGCTGTGGTCCAGGGAGAGCCCCTGTACCCCACGGGCTCTGGTGTGTTGTGTGTCCACCACCGACCTGCCCTGGCAGGCAGAACCACGATGGAGCCCAAAGGTGAGTTTGGGGGGTAGCAGAGCCCATGGGTAGGCAGTCTAGCTGAGGAAAACTTCAATCTCTTGGGGTTCCGTTTTCAACAGCTGTTACCACACCTGCTCCAAGGAAGCCCACGGATCTGCCCGAGGAGGGACCAGCCACCAGCACAGAGGCCATTCCTGAGCAGGCAGAGAACACCACCAACTACCACCTGCTCACCCAGCCTGAAACCCCAGCGGGTGAGGACACCATTGTCAATGCCCCCAACAGCCCCACCTTGAGTGACCTCCTGGACGACCTCTTTGAGTACCTGGTGGACAGTGGTTGCCCTGAGGAACAAGTGGAGGTGGCTCAAGAGGACAGCGACGACACCACCTTGGCCGCCAACGCCCCCAGCCTGACTGCTGAGGACCTCGATGAGCTCCTCGAGTTCTGTGAATGCCTGCTGGAAGACGACTGTCCCAAGGAGCCAGCAATGGAGGCACAGCAAAGGAACAGCGAGGATGCCGTACTCACCACCCCCAACTTGACCCCCTCCCTCAGCCCACTCAGTGACCCCCGGCCTCCCTTGCCCCGCATGGCCCAGCTGGGGGAGGAGACAACGCAGAAGCAGCCCCAGGTTGTTAAGAACCACTTGCAGCTGCCGCCAGGCATCACCACCACCCAGGTGGACCCCAAAACAAGAGAGGTGGCAGCAGCCAGGCCCCGTGCTCGGCGCCAGCCAGCACCTCCACGGAACAAGGGACCTTCCCGCAGGGCCACATCCCGGCCGAGAAAAAGACGACGACAGCGGTGACGCAGCACCCAGAGACCAGAAGACACCCTGAGCCAGTGACCTGCATCCAGGCCCCCAGGCCCAACCCTCTCCCGCATCCCTCATTCTTCTTTAGTTTATTAAAGAGTGGTTTTGCAGTTCCCTTCTCTGTCTTGGGTTGTTTGGGCAGTGGGAGAGGGGCAGTACCTCGGTGCAGCCCCTGCCCACCCCATGGGGGGCCGGGCTGGGCTGGGCATGATCACCCAGAGGATGGTTCAGCATCACCCCAGGTGCTGGGTGCCTGTGGGAGAACACAGAACTGTTGCAAAAAGTTGACTTATCTGCTATACCTTAGAGGCAGGTAGAAGGAATGGAGTATAGGCAAGAGCAAAACACATTCCCATCACTGGATAAATCCAGATTTTGTTTAGAGTAAATGCTATAATAACCACTCCTCCCCAGTTAGGGAGGAGCTGACAGCAGACACCTAATTATTCTTTTAAGTCAATAAATTTCGAACAACAGAAATCAAGTGTCCACAAAGACAACACAGCAGCATGCTGCCGAAATAAGCAATGAGCTCCAGATATAATCTCTGCTCTCCAGGTGGACATTTTATTTTCTTCTAACTTATCTGATACACTGCAGGCAAGTTCCTGAGGCAGCCACATATGTTGCTGCAAAAAACCCCAAATGACCTCCAGCCTAGGAAGCCTATATTCCAGGACAGAGGCCACCAAATTTACAGACGGCTATTAAAGAATAGCAGTGCAACATCCACAGCAAATTATTTTGCCTGAAAAGTGTCTTTATAATGCAGTAGTGAGAAAGCTTCCCCTGCAAATGTGCATCTATGATTGGATAAAATATATTGTTATGGGTTTTAAGATTTTTTTTCTTAAATCTCTGAATAAAAGCACATTTTTCCTGTTACAAGAGCACTAAAAGGTCTATGGTAAGTTTACACACTGTAGGAACACTACTCTCCCTCTCAGGAATTGCACAAGGCATCTTTCTTCAACCTGTCTTGTCTCCGCCATTCCCTCAAAAATACAAAAAGCTTATCAAAACATTTTGTCCCCAAAGTGCACGTACCAAACACACTATGACGTCTAGTTCACTATTCTGTTGCTTTCCAGGTAGAAAGCATTCAGATACTTTTAGAGGTTTATACTGCCTCTGATGAGAAGTTCATTTCTTATATGCCAGAATCTTTCCTAATGAGAGGAAAAAAGATTAAAAACAGAAGAGTATTTAAGAGGAGTAGTTCTGTGTGTGAGAAAAGCAGCTGACTGTGAGGAACATCAGACCCTGCAGTGCCAACAAGACAGAGAAGTTGAGGTGGAACTCAAAGAAGAATCCAAAGTGTCACTAAGAAACAGAACAGGAGTAACAGTAATTGCAATAAAACAGTGAATGCAAACAACTGCTAAAAGCTGTGCATGTTCTATAGACTTTTATTACATATATCTCTGAATTACCTCAATGACAGCAAACGTGCTGCACTGAGCATCAGAAAATGTCATTCCTTCTTATTTTATTAGTTATTCCAGTTGTCATTCCTCTTCCCCAGCAGCACAGAAACTAATGCTCTCTATCAGGCATTATTATTCAGAATGTTATTGCATAAACCACATAAAACACTTCTATTGGTGTTAGTATCTTTATACTCACTCTTAAATAAAATCTTATAATAATTAAAAGATTCATTTTCCATTGTTACGGTCTGTTTTCATCACCACCCTTCTTATTGCCATTTTTGGGTAGAAAAAACAAAGATTCTGTTCTCAAGTGCATTGGTCTCATCCCTAATAAAATTCAATTCTATCTTCATTAAAATTACATGAGAGTAAAGGAGGTCAAGACGTGGTGAGCTCCAATTGTTTCCTGAATGAAAAGTAATTTTGCAGTTATTGTCAAAATAAATTATACACAAGTATAATCAAAGTTAATTGAAGAACACTGCATGGTTTGAGCTCATTAAAATCCTCACAAATGCTTACATGAAACATACTGCTTGGTAGTTTAAAGAAAAAAGTGTCTTCTTTTACTTTGCAAAAAGCTATTAATCCAAGTGAGAATTCCTCAAAGCTAAATTAATAATACTCAGAGCAGCTTCTATGGTCCATAGAGGTAGCACGTGAATTAATCCCCCTCCTTGGAACACTGTGATATCAAACCTGTTGACGTAACCAATTCTGCATTTCAAATGAAATGCTGGTCACACACAAGCCACCAGCAGCTGCAGCACTTGGGGCTGCAGGATCTCACACGTTGTAAGACCCCAGCCACGGAGCCACAACCTCAACCAGGAGGTTTACTTTTAAAAATATACAAGGCTCCAAAATTTCACCCAGCGAACTTTTGCAGAGCCTTCAGTGCTTTAATACCCTGAGGTAGTGGAAAGATAATATGATGCATGTGTTTTCTCAGGAGACACTTCTACTTTCAAAACATGGGAGAAAATAAGGATCTTCACTGAAGTTCAAAAGGGTAACATGCAACCAAGATAGAGCACTTCACAAAGCTATTATTTAGCACACACTAATCCACACAACTTAGCAAAAACCAACCCATTCAGTTTTAAGTTATGAAAGATATTAAAGAAACAGATAAAAGAAAGAGATTAAGAGAAGAAAAAGGAGCAGAGAAGTAATTTTCAACTGCAAACCTACCTAAACCCTCAGAAATTTCCTCCTTTGTTACCTTCTCTTTGAATACTTTGTATCAAAACAATGAATTACATTTAGCCTGAATTTGTAGCAGTTTAACCTCCTGTGATCTTGAGAGACTAGACACACCTCTCCTCTTCCCGAAATCACTTACCTACCTGTTATGTAGAGGTTATGACCTCAGAGACAGCAAGGGAGTCCTCTGAAATTAACTGCCAGAAAATAAGCAGGTTTGGGATTATATTTATATCGCCATTAGCTTTCTTACCAGGTACAGGATGATCCCAACACTACCAAAAAGCAAGCACAGGGGAACTCATCACCGAGTACAACAGTGAGCACACACAGGGTACAACAAAAACTGCGTTCAGACTTCCTTTAGTAATACAGATATGAACCAAGAGGCCATAATCTGACCACTAGGTATTATTTAAGCCTTATTACCTCACCTTAGATATGGGCTTTTAAAAACAGGTGATGTTTCCAAAGAGCTTTAAACATCAGCACCTATTTTCAACAGGCCCATACAGCTCTTTACTGGTATACACTGAGCAGTGTGATCCTGCTGAAAACATTCAGGAGCGGCCACAACCAAAGGAATGGCTGAGTACTCATCACAGCCTGCCTGATTTTGCCCCAAGTGCCTACAGCTTTACCAGGTCCTGACCTTCTGCAGGTGGTCCCAGTCAGTAACCATGCAAAATAAAAAGAGAGGTTTTGCAATATAGTGACCAGAGCTCACCTGTGGCTGCATGTCACAATCAAGGAGTTGACTCAATCCGATTTCTGAAGCATAAAAATATCATTTTCTAAAACAGTGTACCAGAATATAAAGGGGAAAATAAGAATACAAACCAAAAAACATGGTTTCCTTTAAAAATACCAAAGTAAAGAAACTTTGGTTTGGAGCAGTCCCTCTACAAGAATCTTTTTCATAATAAATATGCAATGTTTAAAACATATTTTTAGCCGAAGAGCCAACACTTCAAGCCTCTCACCCCCTGCAGTTACCTCTAGCAGTATAATTAATACTTAATCATGGCCATGGTTTTCATAGACAATGATGCCTAGTGTGCTTTTGCTGAGATAGAAATAAATTATCCATTCTCACTTTATAAATGAAGATCTGCTCTTCCAAATTATTAGGAATTTGAGTAACTACACTGAACCCAAATATGGATATTTGCAAAACTGAGCCTTCATTTATATTGATTTTTCTTCATCCACAAGGAATTAAGCCAAGGAAGCAAGCCTGTAAAGTCTGTTTTATGGAACACAGAAAATAAATAAGTAATTAATATAAAATCAAATATTCCATACAGCACCAGTTGACACTGTCAACTCTGTTCTCAGCACACGAAACATATTGATTAACTACCTTTTACACACATCTCCAATTAATACCAATATTAGCTCATTGCACTAACTTGTGGAAAAAAGGTGCTCTTTGCTTATACTGCAGTTTAAGAACTGTGGCACAACACCCGAATATCAAAGATACTTCTCCTGTTATTCTAGGAAGCAAAGTGTTTCCTGAACCTCCAGTGACACAGGACACAGTGAGCAGAGGGAAGGCTTTAGTCAGGGGCAGGATTTCCCTTCCTTTGCATCTTCACTCACAAGGCTCCCAACAGGGTGTTTCACCTGTCCCAGTCCTGAAGGAAAACTTACTGTGTGGAGAACACCAATGTTATTCCACTGGCCACACTTACCTGGAGAAATAACTGCTCACCAGTATAAATGGGGTGGCTTGAGGGTTTCTGTTTGTTTGGGCTGGAACAGCACACCAGATTTCTTTAAGAGAGGGCATAGATCACACAATTCACAATGGACAAAGGGCAAGAGACACCAAGAAAAATTATTGACCACTACAGTGAAGAAAAGGATCATGTTCAGGTTGGAGCAGGCAGTGGGTAGGCAAAAAACAGAAAGAAAAATGAGACTTTTAATAGCTCACCCCAGAGTGTTTATCATACCAGAACAAGGAGAGATTGGCATACTGTAGAAATGTAAGTAGTCAGAAAAAAATAGGTGAAAAAAACCCCTCTTGGAAATGCTTTGTAGTATAGTTTGGTCCCACAGCAGTGAATATAAAAGTGGGTGCTTGCTATATATGTGCTGTGATTTCTAAATCCAAGTAAAGAGACTTTTCTCTACAGTACCACGTTAATCCTTTTTGGTTTTGGTAATTCTTTGCCATATCCAGCAATATTTCTCTCAAGTTCTGATGAATCTCAGATAATGCTCTTTGTGTTTTATCACAGAGCCCACTACATAATGCCATACTGAATATTCTGTGTTTAATGAGTATTTTAATACAGGCCCAAGTAGTTTTTTATGGCCAGCTAAAGCATGGCTGGGAACTTTGAGGCTGGACACTGAAATATTACGGGGATTCACGAAGAAAACCTTCAGGCATGTGGCAATGAATTGCATACTGGGAACAACCAAGTCATGTTGGCTTCTCACTGCAAAATAATGCCAGCCAAGA